CGAAGAGAGTCCTCGGAGTTTTGGGATCCTTTTTAGGTGGTTTAGGAGTTTAGGGGTTTAGGAGTTTAGGAGTTTAGGAGTTTAGGGTTCAGGGGTTTAGGGGTTTAGGGATTTAGGAGTTTAGGAGTTTAGGGTTCAGGGGTTTAGGGGTTTAGGGTTTAGGGGTTTAGGGTTTAGGGTTTAGGGTTTGTGGTCATGAGGGCTGTCTGATTCCAGTTCCAGGGGCTTGCGATGCTACGATGAAAGTTTCTGGCCCGCTTTGGTCTCTGCTGGATATCCCAAACCTAAGATCGTAAGCCCTAAGCCCCTTTTTTGTCAGTGGTTGAGGCGACTCGAGCATTAAATGCCGAGCCGCGAACCCGTCAGTTGCAACCTGTAAATCCGGGAAGCCTAGACCGCAAACACCTCAAAATCCTGAACCCCGAACCTTACTCAAAACCCAATGCCCTAAATCCAGGGTTTCGAGATTTCGCATTTGCTGGCTCTAAACTTTAAGCTCCGAAGCCTCAAGACGAACTGTGGCGCACTGGCCCTACTAGCTTGCTAAATCAGGTGTGCAGCCGAATCCCAAAGACACGAAGATGCAACGCCCGAAACCCTGAAACCGACAATCCTCATCCCTAAGCCCCAAACCCGAAACCCGAAAAATACACCCTAAACCCTGAACCCTAAACCCTTTAAGCCCTAAACCGTGAACCCTCTACCCTAAACCCTGCACCCTAAACTCTCAAGTTCAACCCCCAAGTTCTGTACCTCACTTGGAGGCCCTTTTGACTTAGTAAGTAGGGTTAGTAAGGTGGGTTATGGGGATTATAATAGGGCTCCTGCGAAATACTAAGTAGACTTACTAAGTCAAAAGGGCCTCCAAGCAGGGCTTAGGGTCAAACCGCGGATCCTCTTGTCGAGGCCGGCAGTATATGGGTAGTTCTCTAAATTAGGGTCCCTTTTGGGTCCCCCAAATAGTACGGCACCCTTATAAAAAGGACCCTAAGAAGGACCCTACTTTAGAAAACTACCCATATTGTAGTAAACTACATTGCATGATATATACTTTGAGAATATTATCGTAGGTTATGGCTTTTAGTATATTGTAGCATATTAACGTATATATTTATAGTATATGAATATATATTATGTTACTTGAGCGTTGAGTTTAGGGCCCAAACAAACTCCTGAGCCGAAAGCCTTCGCGCTGTGACGGGTAGCAAGGAAACGTCATGCAGAATGTCACCACACAGATGCAATAGCTTCCGTGAAGCGATGCTTGAGCTGCGTTAGAAATCTCGGTTTGTGAGCATATGGGTGTTTCCGAAAATAGGGGACCCTAATATAGTACCCCAAATGATAGGATCCTTATTATAAGGACCCCCAAAATAAGGTACCCCTAATTTTCGGAAACTCCCATATAGTATAGATGATAACGATGACTTCATTCCGAGCTCGCTCGGTCTCCGTAATCACTATGATGTGTCTAGTATGATCAGTAATCAGGACAGGGGAGCAACGGTGGCAGCAGCTTCAGCTGGCCGTGTTAAGCACATGTCGTCAATCTGGGAAACCCTAAACCCCTAAACCCCTAAACATTAAACCCGAAACCTTAACCACCTGAGCTCAACCTCCAGCCCCTCAACCCTTAAACCTCAAGCCGTGAGCCTCTAAACAAGCACACGAAATAACACAACAAAATCTTGAAATGCTGTAAATCCTGACAAGACCCGCCAAACAGTATAGAGTTCAAGGAAACCCTAAACCTTAAACCCCTAAACACTAAACCCCTAAACCCTAACCCCTAAACCCGTAGGGATTTAGGGATTTAGGGTTTGGGGTTTAGGGTTTAGGGTTTAGGGGTTTAGGGGTTTAGGGTTCAGGGTTAAGGGTAAGGCCGCCACAAGTCACAACCCCAAACCCTGGATACGTGCAGGGGTTCCGGCCTTTGGAACTGGGGTTGAGGGATTGGAGTTTCGGTGTCGCGAGGTCCGGGGTCCTAAATCCGAAACAAACTTGAACCACAAAAGGGCTCCTGTACGGGTTCCTGCCAGGCAGCCACAACGGTTCTATATGGGAAAACCCCAAATCCTTGACAACCACACACTTTCTTTTAACGCCATTGCTGAGAAGCCGCGTGGTCAACATGTTTCACCCTTCGAACCCTTTCAACATTACACTCCCATCCCTGAACCCTAAACCCTAAACCCGAAACCCAAAGCAGCCAAAAAGAGCCAAAATACCGTGAACCCCATGTAGACCCTAAACCCCCGAAGCTTAGTTGAAACCCCAAAGCACTAAAACGCCCAAAACCCTAGACCCTAAACCCCATAAACCTTAGTTTCAGGATCGTGGGACTCGGTCTTTTCCTGTCCCTCCTGGCTTGGATCGTCTTCCAAGGGAACCTTGGCTCGAAATGTTTAGGGCTTCAAGGGTTTAGGGGCTTAGGGGTTTAAAGGTTTAGGGTTTAGGGCTTAGGGCTTTAAGGGTTTAGGGTTTTTTGGCTTTAAGGGTTTAGGGTTTTAGGGCTTTAAGGGCTTAGGGGTTTAGGGCTTTAAGGGTTTAGGGCTTTAGGGCTTTAGGGGTTTAGGGGTTTAGGGCGTTAAAGGTTTAGGGCTTTAGGGGTTTAGGGCTTTAGGGCTTTAAGGGTTTAGGGCTTAGGGCTCAGGGCTTTGAGGGTTTAGGGGTTTAGGGTTTTGGGGCTTTAGGGCTTTAAGGGTTTAGGGCTTTAGGGCTTTACCGGTTTAGGGTTTTAGGGTTAAGGGTTTAGGATTTAGGGGTTTAGGGTTTTCGGGTTAAGGGTTTAGTTTAGGGCTTTAAGGGTTTAGGGGTTAAGGGTTTAGTTTAGGGTTTTAAGGTTTAGGCTTTAGGGCTTTCGGGGTTTAGGGTTTAGGGTTTAGGGCGCACATATTTATCAAAACTATTCCCCTAGAGCGGGTCGAGGGTCGAAAGGATTCAGGTTTGGGCATCAGTATTACGGTGTCGGTTTAAGGTTTGTGTTTTGAATTGTCCCTAACCCTCTAGGTACCTACTATAGAGGGTACTAGAGCCCCTAAGGCCCTATATATTAGGTACCTGGAGG